GAACCCATGTGGCTGATGTGTAGATCAATGTTTGAGTCCCACGCCATACAAAGAGAGCCAACTGGGCAGTAGGTTAATAGGTTAAGTGAGCACATAAACTTAATGGGCCTAAAGCCCAATTCGAACTGGGCTTAAGTCAGTTAATTAAAAGGATGCAAGATAAGATTTATAATTTGATTAGGATTAGTTGAAGGATAAGATAAGTCTTATCTTTTCAAGAGTCCAGATCCAAATATCAGATTTGGATTAAGGATCTCTCTCCTAATTGGATTAGGAGGCTGATCCTGAGAAGGCTATAAATAAAGGGGGCGAATTCCTTAGTGAGACAACACAACAATCTGTAGAGTTCTTCCCTGTTCTTGCCGCCCTTACCCAGTTTGATCTCCACTTGAGGGAGTTATCAAAAATTGTTCTTGATATTGCTTCTTGGTAGAAGGGGCAATCTGAAGTTGTGCTCCCTAGCCCTCTACTCCATTCTTGCTGAAGAGCCGTCCTTCTGATCCTACTTCACCACACACTGTGTCATCTTCAGTGGAAGCGGGTTTTGGTTATCTCCTTGGGCGTGAACACCTTCATTGGGAGTTACTGCTACTTCGTATTAGGTATATCCCTCTCCTCCCTTTTGTTTTTAGATCTGGTCTGGTTTGGTTCAAGATTGATCATTGAAAATGCAGTTTTCTAAAATAGGGAATGCGATTCATAGATGGGAGAGAGAGAAATTTTTGAAATTTTGCCCAACCTTCCTACAGGGTTCGGCCATGCATATGATGGATCTCTCAGTACATGCTACTCTAATTATTAATTCAGTTGCTTTTTGGATTATCATTTGTAGAACTATAGGCCTTTCTTAGGAGGCTGCACATATTTGGTACTTGTCCTAAAACCTTTATGCATTGTAGGCTGGAGAATGAACCATCTCCATTTGGTTTTTTATTTAGCTTGGGGATTCTTAAAGATAGAAATTTAGAAGTATCTTATGAATTCAATTGCGGCCTTATATTTTTTATTTGTAACAAAATGATGATTGCTAGTTTACACTATTTTAGTACATTATGTGATGGTTGATCTTCAAGTTGATTTGTTTCTATTTTCTGTTTAAACATTAGCATTTGTAAAGTACTGAATGCTGAAATGGATGTTGCATTTTGTATGGGATTTAATATTTTTTCTGGCACTTTTGGAACTGTTTTTTAAATCCATATTCGTTAACCTGATTTTCCCCTCCCAACATTTTCTAGGTACCAAATAGGCCTCCGTTACACTGGTGGTGCTAGAATGCTATTGATGCTGTCATTAAAGTTTGGCATCATTCCTATAATTGTACCTGTTGGTGTTCGAGATTTTGACATTGATGGGGAACTATGGGTCAAATTGCGGTTAATACCATCAGAGCCTTGGGTTGGAGCTGTTTCATGGGCATTTGTTTCCCTTCCAAAGATAAAGTTTGAGTTGTCACCATTTCGTTTGTTCAATCTCATGGGTATGTTAGTTTCAATAATTTAACTTTTTTTGGCTCCATAGTTTCATTAGTTTAATTAGTTTGTTCCTTTCAATCTTCTTTTCTCTTTTTTTCTCTAGATATTTGAATCTTCTTATTGTTTGATTTGAAATATGTGGAACTCAAAGAGTTACTTACATAGGCCTCTTATAGACTTCAAGGCTATATTTTATATAGTTTTTCTTTCTTTCTTTCTTTTTTTTCTTTTTACAAAGAAGTGGACCAGAAATCCTCAAGATACGATGATGAATACTATATGAAACTACAATTGCTTGAATTTCTCTGAACCAGTATGCAGTCCAAAATCAGCTAGCTAATATCTTTGCTAATTTGATTAATAGGTCCTGATCATTGTTTAAAGTTTCTTCTATTTCACTCCTTCCATATCCCCAATAGATTGTAAAGCAAGTAATCCTCCACAATCTTTGATCTTTTGTTTCAAAAGAAATATTGGATTGATGATGTATAAAATTGACTGTCCTTGAAATGTGCAAGGAGATGGGGTTTAATAGGAAGGGGAGGTAAAAAATTGTGGTTTATATAACCTGGTCCTTCCACTTTACAAGGAATATTGGGTGATTGTTTAAAGTTTCTTCTATTTCACTCCTTCCATATCTCCAATAGATTTTAAAGCAAGTAATCCTCCACAATATTTGATCTTTTGTTTCAAAAGAAATGTTGGATTGATGATGGATAAAATTGACTGTGCTTAAAATGTGCAAGGAGATGGGGTTTAATAGGAAGGGGAGGTAAAAAATTGTGGTTTATATAACCTGGTCCTTCCACTTTACAAGGAAGACTGGGTGATTATATCATTCACTCTTGTTTTTCCTAATGTCTGTTCATGGCACATACAGTTTGAGCTTGTGGAAAGGCATACTGCAAATTAGGGATTGGTTCTCTAAACCTGTTAGGTTCAAGCAGGGCATTGGAGATCACATCAAATTCTGGAAGGATGTGTGGTGTGGTGAGGCCACTGAAATCTGTATGTCCAGCCTTTCTGAACATTGCACAAAACCAGGAGGCAATTGTCTTTCCTATTGAAGTGGATTATATGGCTCATGTTCCTTCCAACATATCTTTTGTTATGTGGATAGCTGTTCTAGAGAAGGTGCTAACTATTGACCATCTTATCAGCAAAAGCACGACAATGGTAAATAGGGGTAGCCTGTGTGGTGATAGTGAGGAATCAATTTAAGACTTAATAATTAATTGATACTTATAAATTGCCAGTAGGTGCTCTCTGATGACTTATCCATTTGTATTTCATCATGGAAGTTGACTTGTTTCAGTGTTAAGTGGGGAAATTTTATAGAATCTGCTTCAGTTTGCATAATGGATAAGTCTAACTTTTTTAGACAACCAAAGATAAAAGGGAAGAATTCTTCTGACAGTGCAGTTTTATGGGTGGTTTGGGAAGAAAGAAACAACAAGATTTTTAAGGGAAAGAAAAGTCAAAGGAGGAATTGATTGACAGCATTACCATCAAGGTAGCACATTGGGAGAGTAGGGTGTGGAGTGCAGTAGCGACTTCTTCAAGATCTAAACCTATAGCTCAGGAGAGTAGGGCACCTTCTACACTTCAAAGAACTAAGCTGAATTTTGATGGGAGTTCACTTGGCAATCCAGGGCTTTCAGGAGGTGGAAGATTATTAGCCCTATTCTTGGGGCCAATTGGGGTGGGAGATTCACTAAGATCTGAGGTGTTGGCCCTCCTACATGGGTTGAGATTTGGCTAAACAATTGGGTCTCCATTGGATTGGAGTAGAAGAGGACTCAAGATTGCTAATAGGATGACTCAAGATTGCTAACAGAATGGATGTAGGAAGGAAATTTGGGACTATGAGAGAAATTTTGTTGCTGACAAGGGAAATTCATGTAAATTTTAATTGGGTTTGAAGGTTAGTCAATACCTCGGCTGATGGTTTAGCTAAACAAGGGTCAACCAGGGCTGACTTCTTTTGGGCAGCATTGTAATAGTGGACTGTCATGTGGGGTTCAACATTCCTTTTGAGGTAAACTACTACTCATAATTTGACTCAGAGAAATCTCAGTAAATCCTAATCTACTTAAGTAATGACTGATTAAACTCATTAAACTAATACTGTACAAATTGAACTCTAAGGCTGGACCTTATAAACAATATGTAAAATGATCAAAATACTGTGCTGTCTAAAATGCTAATATGCTAAGATGGATGAGTGGAATAACTAGAAAAGATAGGGTCAGAAAAAGTCATTCGAAGGAACCTAGGAGTAGCTCCAATAGGTGAAAAATGATAGAAAGTAGACTAAGATGGTTTGGTTACATGCATAGAAGACAATCTACAGCAACTGTAAGAAGCATGGTTTAAAATATCTGTATATTTCCTAGTCTTTCCATGGTTGTTGGCGTGAAATAATACTGGAATCAGCATATTCTCCAATGGAAGCTACTAGTGCTATGTGGAGTAAAAAGATAGTATTATACCATAAATTGGCGACAACATTTTAGAAATGTGGAATAGCAATGTTATTTCCCTCCTAATGAACATGATTACCACTTTGAGCCAGCTTGAAATTCGTCTCAAACATGATGTTAAATCTTAGGTCTTATTGAATAATAAATTATTTGGTTGATCTATCAGAATTATTTGCACTTTCTGAGTTTAAATTTTACTTGAACTCAATGTATATGTGGTTTTGATGATTTGGAACAAGTAATAATTTAAAAGGGCCTACCTATGCATCCTTATCATTATATATTATAGCATTCTATATTTTTGCATATTTCATAATGTTTTCACCATGTCTGTAATTTTTACCTTATTTCCGTACAATGTTTCCAAGATTTCTGACATGTCCTATATTAGGATGATTGATATTTCCATCGACATCCACATTTTAAACCTTGGTAAGAAGAAGCAATCTTTTGCAAGTTGAAGGGGCTAGAAGGGCTAGGGGCAGATCAAAAAAGGACATGGGTTAAATAGTAAGAAACGATTTAAGTGCTCATAATTTAACAATGGACATGACACTAAACCAAATGGAATGATGAAACAGGATTTATGTAGCTGACCCCATATTAGCTGGACATGGATTAGATGATGATGATGACATAAAAATTCAATGATTTCTGTTAGAGTTAGCCGAATAAGGGTAGATTAGTCAACTCACCTTGGTTAAGTTATGAGCTTATGTGGCAGTCTTATTAGAGGTTCTCTGTCCCATACTTAAGTAGGGGCAGTTTAGTCCTTGTACATTTAATTAGAAGCCTAATCACTATT